TTTTTGAGCCATTGTTTAATAAGAAGCAGTTTCCAGCAGATGGGTTGCCAAAATGGAACAAGAATTGATTAAGATTTAGCATCCTCTCAAAGCTGTATCACAATTAATTTACCTCCTGCATCTTATGCAGAACTGTCTGGAAAAGCCATTACTGAGAAGTGGCTTTGCCTTGGTTGCACGTTTCCCCTTCTGACATGTCCATGTGCCTGGCTGTGGAATGTCAGGATCTAAAGCACAACAGTTTGCAGTGGTTATTGTTGTTAGACTTTTAGATGTTGTTGATGTTGCTGGGTTTGTTTGTTTGGAAAGGGGGTAGCAAAGCTGATATGATTTTCTCCTATTTACCTAAAAACTCTGTGTGGGCTCCACGTGCATTTTTAAGGTATCTAGCTCTCCTGGCTTAGAACTAGTTGAAGTATGGCATGCCAGATAATCTTTTCTAAGATATGGACTCATCCTGACTGATGGACCGGAGCTGTGCTCCAATCAGCTCTGTGTGCCTTCCTGATGCTCATCCTACCAATGTTCCTGGTGTCAATAAGAGACAGCAGGTGAAGATGGCTGGCTGTCTACAGTTGTCATAGAAGTGCAGATGTACATTACAGACCATACAGGCAGATTTAATCAGCTTCCAACATTAGCCAATAGTGATGTGTAGACAGATGTGTGTTTGTGGTATGAGAGAGTATCATCTGAGACTTGTTTCAAGTAAAGGCCAAACCACCTCCTTTATTCACTCCATATATCAACATTCTTTATTTTCCTGTGTGTGGTAACACACTTTGATGGCTACATCGCCTGGCTCTTCCTTTTTGCAGGTTCTAAACTATTCATCGAGTTCAACACTCAACAAGGGTTCAGGAGGGGGAATAAAGAGGTCTTCCTATTTTATAAATCCTTTGGACATAGAATCTTGTTTCTCCTTCCATGTTTTATGACTTTGTTATCTGTAGTAGCCCACATCATACATGTCAGTATCAAGTTACAGCGATGAATACTGTATAAAAAGCTTTCTTCAGTGGTAACCTGTTTCCCAGCTGTGAATCTTTCTTGCTCCACACTCTCCTGCTCTAGGAAGTCAAGTTCCTCCATGCCTCTTCCAGACTGCAACTTGTATGGCTCTTAAGAGTTACTTCTGCTTCTCTTCCTGTAAGTCAGAGTTTACAGCATCTTTCCACCTTCTGACATTCTTTGTATTTTTCCTCTTCTACCAAATGGCTGAAGAACATAATTCACGTTGTAATGAAGAGGTCTGAGTCTTGAAACAATCTAGAATTTTAAGCACATTACTCAATCCATGGAGGGAGAAAATCAGCGCTTTGAAACAAAATTTCTCTGATTTACTGCTGTGAAAACAAAGAAAACTTTGACACGTATGACCAGCGGCTCCAGCTCCCCAGCACTTCTTTAGACTCTTAGCTCAGTCGTGTTTCCAGTATATCATGTTACCACAGGCCCCAGCAGCAAGATAATATTAGTACTATCTGTTTCCTTAATAGGATGTTCTGTTTCTTAAGGTTTCTTCTGATAGGCAAAAGCCTAAAATTAGTGGTCAGAATTTTGATTTTCAGGTAGGCATTGCAGTGCTTAAAATGTTCATACATTCGCTAAAAAATGATTATTTCTGCCTACCTTAAACATTCCCTCTATAAACAACAGAGAGAGAAGGTAACTGCTAACTAATACGTGAGTAGTAGCCCTTGCTGGCTGTGCAGGGAGATACTGCTATAGAGGGCAGTGAATGGAAAGTTGCTCAGAGGCATGCAGTACTGTACAGTAGAAAACAAAACATAGGAGGACCCAGGGACAGTGAACAGAGCTGAGGACTTGTTCCTCCCAGAGCACACCTCTTCGTCTTGGGTTCCATTTTGCTTTTTCTCTGGGAACAAGTATATGGCAGGGTGCTGAGGTCATAGGCCTGTAAGATGGTGTTAACTCATGCTTCGGTGGATTAACAGTAAGTAATACTCCGAGTAAACTGGAATCACTGTATTGCAGATGTGTAATGTAGAACTTCCTTCACCTGATCCATTTTACATGAGTATGTAAATGTACATGGTATATGTAATGAAATGTTAGTTCTTAATCCTGTCTGCCATTCACAGCTCTAAGAAATTTGCTAAATATGAACAAGAGCTCCCTAGTCTCAGAGGCATGCACAGCTTGAATAATTATGAACACAAATAAGGGTATTCTGTGTTTGTTCAAACAAGCTTAAAAATAGGTGAGTCCAATCAGGGCCATTCAACACTACAGGCATCCCCTATAGGAATAGGTCCTGTATGTACATACTAGGAGTCTTGGTGCTGCTGTCATAACCTGGAGACCAAAGGGTTAGCTTCCTCAGAATCCTTTTACCTGGCAGCTTTTTGTCATCTGTAATGCCAGGCATAGACACAGCATCTTACCCTGATGAATTGGTTCAGGGAATCTTCTATCCTGAAGAAAAATTAAAATTTAATTTCAAAACATTGTGTAGAGCAATTGCATTATTTCTTCTAGTCTTAAAGGTATCCATACAGGGCAGAATAGTCAGTGTGATTGTGGCATTTCCTTTGAATCATGAATACGTGATAGGCATCCTTCTTAAGGAAAAGCCATGCTGAATGCCAGAGGGAAAACAACTTATATTTGATAGACTCCATATGCACACACTCTGCTTGGTCCATGTTCATTTATAAGCACTCAAAGAATGTGAATTCCACTGGAACGTATTCTAATTTCTTTTGTCTTCTCTAAATCAATTTCCAAGGTGAAAATCTGCTATTGCAGCAGTCAGTGCAGATTTGAAAATTCTAGGCAAGATGAGGTACTTTAATGGGAAAAACTGTTTTCCATTCCGTGTTCTCCTTTGATATGTATATTTTAATTATTTTAATTAGGTCACGTACTTCAGTGGTAACTCGTTCCTTAAGTTGCTTGCAAATTAGGTGAACTTCTGCAAACTTGGCACCTGAGACCAATACCTGACTTTGCACAGGCCTCTGGGTTAATGGCAGCGGTCTGTCTCCTTCTCCTGGAAAGACCAGTGGAGAGCTGAACAAGAGTAACATTAAGACATTATTTAATAAAAGAATGGAAGCATCTGTATTGGAATAAGGGAGAATGCCACAACTACTTATACTCTAAATAATTTGCAAAGGCCGCTTTCCACTTCTTTGTGTTTTTTAGGATGCCCTTGCACCAGATTTGAGGATTTCACCTGAAATAAATGTTTTCTTATTCCAGTTCTGTACATTACCTCAGTATCTAAAAAAGGGTAGATTTAGATTGGATACAAGGCAGAAATCCTTCACCCTGAGGCTGATGAGGCCCTGGCACAGCTGACCAGAGAAGCTGTGGATGGCCCATCTGTGGCAGTGTACAAAGCCAGGTTGGATGGAGCCCTGCGCAGTCTGATCTGGTGCCTGATGGAGTGGTTGGCAACCCTGTCCACAGCAGTGGGGTTGGAACTAGATGATCTTCGAGGTCCTTTCCATCCCAAGCCATTCTATGATCTCAGCTCTCCAGGGTGACCAACTCCTTAGCCCATATCAAGTCAGCTTGGACCCAATTATGTTAGAGACACAGAGAAAATAATTTACCATGAGTTCTCTCTTTATTCTCAGGACAACTTCATTTTTGCATCCAGACCAAAACGCTTCCATTCTCAACATCTGCCAAACTCCCACATGTGTTTTGCATTTTCTAAACATTGAAAGGCATCTGGCAATGTATTTTTCTCAGGTTAACCTTAACAGTCATCCATTTTTATTGCTCTGATGCACGTGTGCATGCACACACAAGCGTGCATAAAGTGCTTATACTGTAAATATGATCGTGATTAGTTATTAGAGATGACAAGTAATATCTAAGTAATGTTATCTTAAACTTAATTTAGAAATATTAGCTGAACTACAGTGCATAATGTTAAGGAATCCACTCCCTTATAGTAATTTGTGTTCTCAAAAATTAATAAAATCCTTACTATTTCATTCTAAAAGGTTTATTTTGAGGAATAGTAGAAGTGCAGTAATGGCTTTTTCTGCTCTTCTCTTAACTTAGTTTCCTCCCAGACAGATAACTGATTGTTAGTGGATTTAACTCTCATTTTGGGTGTTGCTTAGTGGCATAACACCTTTCAGGTTCAGCTGAGGTTTTCAGTACTGCCCACAGTAAATTGTTTTTTGCAGGATTATGTTTAGACTTCTTCCCTGAGTATGGTGGATTTTACTTTTGAATGTGTGTGGCTGTCTGGCTCAACACAGTCTCTGAGTAGGATTGCTCTGCTAAAATGGCATCTCACTATTTTCACATATGGAAAAAGGTTGTCTGTTCTAAATGTATTAGAAACTATACAGTTCCACCCATAAGCCTTGGTATGTAACCAGTCAGAAAGAAAACAAATCCCTTACTTACAGACTAGTTACTTACAGACTAGTTCAGATACTAGTCCGGTAGGCAAAAGCTTTCAAATATATAGCAGAGGATAGTTTGCTGTATTGAGTATACATTAAATTGCACCTAGTTTGGTCACTTTTGAACACAAACCCTTTGCGTGTGTTTGTATCACTCCAGCCTGCCATATGGTGTATGGCCTTCACAAAGTGGATCATGAAATAGAAGAGGGCAGGGCAGTAAGCTGTATCTCACTAGGGAACATAACTTTTGGCATGGATCTCTTAACTGAATTTCCTTCTGATTTATATAGCTGGTTTTTGTTTGTTTGCTTTTGCTGAATTGTTAAAGTATTTAATCACGTTCCCAACTTGGTATTCAGTGCAGCTTCATAAGCAAGTATGCTGATATGAATGAAGAGCAGTGTAGCCACAGAGAATCACAGAATGGTTTGTTTTGAAAGGGACCATAAAGACCACCTGATTCCAACCTCCCTGCTGTGGGCAAAGATGTTTTCTGCTGAATCATGTTGCCCATGGCCCCATCCTGGCCTTGAATACCTAAGGGGAATCCACAGCTTCTCTGGGCAATCTGTTCCGGGGCCTTGTCATCCTCTGAATTTTCCCCACTTTCTAACTTAAATCTCCCCTGTTTAGTTTAAAACTGTTGGCCCGTGTCCTATAACTCTCAGACTATGCCCTTTAGGTACTGTAGGGACACAATGAGGCCTCCCTGGCGCCTGCTCTTCTCCAGGCTGAACAGTCCCAGCTCCCTCGGTCTTTCCTTGTAGAAGTGCTGCAGCCCTTTGGGCATCCTCGTGGCTTCCTCTGGACCTGCACCAACAACTCTATGTCTTTCTTGTGCTGGGGGCCCCTTCTCTGCAGAGCTACTTTCACTGATTCCTCCCAGTCTGTACTCAAGCCCTGGATCATGGAAGCTTATACTTCACCCTCCTCAACTTGCCTATCCCTTACCATAGCTTTAGTGTCTATTCCATGATCTTCCCATTCTGAAACTGAGCTGAAACTCTCTCACCTGTATTTCCTTGGGACATCCTTTCCACCCTTCTTAAAAATGGGAGTGATGTTTCCATTTTTTTCTAGTCATTGGAGACTCTTGTCTGACTGCCATGACTTTTCATCTCCATGAGCACCAGATCCAGTAACATTTCACCTCTTGCTGGTTTGCTTAATACCTGGACCAGAAGTTGTCCTCAGTGCATTTCAGGAGTCTCCTGAATTGCTTACAGCCTGCTGTGTTGCTTTCCCAGCAGATATCTGGATAGCTGAAATCCCCAATGAGGATGAGAGCCTGTGAACACAAAGCCTCTTGTAGCTGAAGCAAGAAGGCTTCAATAACAAGCTTTCTTTGACCATGTTGCCCTGACCTCCAGATGTCCTTTATTGGTCCAGTCCCTAATTTTAACCCACAAACTCTCAGCCTGATCATGTGTGTTTCTCAGAGGCAGCTCTTTGCAAGCTACCCATTTCTTAACACAGAGGGTAACTCCCCCAGGCCTCCTTCCCTGCATATCTCTTCTAGACAGCTTGTAGCCCTGGATTGCAGAATTCCACTCCTGTGATTTGTCTCATCACATTTCTGCCATAGTAATTAGGTTGCAGTTTCCTAACTGCACCATGGCTTCCACCTTCTCCTGCTTGTTTCCAATGCTGTGTAGAGGAATTTCAGCAGAGCTATCAGCAGTGTTATATTTATAGAGGAGCCCTCCCTAATTCCTTGGGGGCAATTCACAGGTATTTCCCTGCTGCTTCCTGAAGTGTTATTGTTCTGGTTTGTCTTTATCACTCAGAAGTACATCCCCTTTCACTGCTGAATCTAGATCATAGCTCTGCTGATCAGTTTGGCCAGCTCGCTGCCCGGAACACACCTGCTTCTCCTGGCCAGATCTGGTGCCCTGCCTGGTATCAACGTGCCCAGCCTCTCAAAGATGTGTCAGAGCAGGACTGCAGTATCTTGAACCAGTACCGTTAATGAAGGCAACACATTACAAAACCACAGTCTCATGCTCAGAGCCTGACAGCTATTGGTCATAATGCAAAGTGAAGTTCTCTTCCGACTTCCTGCATGTTGTTTTAAAATGTGAAATCCACCCATCACATGGTAATTCCTTATTCAATTTAAAGTGTGGCCACTTGCAACGAGCTGAAACTTCAGATTTTGTTGCCAATTTCTGCATTTCTGTTTAGAACGGTGAAGACATAGTTCTGAAACACTGCTTTACTAGACATTGCTATAAGATACTGCTCATGAGAATAGCTGTCATTGGTTCTATAGTGGAAAAAAAACATGCTCGTGCTTAACACTTCCCAGTTTCTAATTTTATCAGGCTGTTATATCTCCAAATTAAAAAATAAGCATTTAAAAAAAAAAAAAAAAAAAAAAAGAATAGGCAGCTTAGGAGTCTAAAGGATTGCTTTTATCACTAGGTGTTGAGTAGGAAAAGAAATAAAATATCAACTGCTTTAATATCTCTTCTCAGCTCTGTTTTGTATTCTGAAGTGTAAACTAAAAGTGCTTAGAGAAAAATAAAAAGTAATGTAAATAGTTGGTCTTGCAGTACATGTACCTTCCCATTCACTACAGAATCAAAAATTTGTCAGGTTTGTTTTATATACATATCTATGTGTGTGTATATAGATAAATATATATACACACATACATATAAAAGATGAAGAACTTTCTTCTTCCTTGAGACAAGAGTTGAGGAACAGAGATTGACTCAATTGCTACTTCAAATTATGATTTACTAAGAACTTCAGGCAAGCTTCGTACCTGTTACATCTTGACCATGAACTTCTAAAATAACTAGTGAATATACCATTCTTTGAGATACCAAAGCTATGAGACACTAAATAATGTTTCAGAAAATGGCATAAGATACTGTAGGCATTTTACAGCAGCTTTGTAGTGTGGTGTCTGAACAGTTTAAATATGTTTGACAGTTCCATTATCTCTTCTAGAAGAGGTAGTTGACATCAGCAGAGAAGGTGAAATTCACTGTGAATTACATCAATTCATTTATGGTTGAAATCTTTATGCTGTTAAGATAATTTCCATGTACAGCCACTTACTACTGTAGTGTGACTTTTCATAAAATGAAAAACCTTTAGTGTCATATTTGCGTACACTTAGCTCATTTTAATTCAAACTGCAAGCACTTCACCAAGATGACTTAAATGAATATAGCTATTTGTAGCTATATAGAACATAAAAAAAAAAAAAAAAAAAAGATAGCTGATGATTAAACTTGAACAGAATTACTAGCAACTATAAGCCGGAAATATGCACAGAGTTCATTACCTCTTATATAGGATGAAAGAACCACTGATGCTTTTTTGAATACCCCAGGAGTAAGTCATTCTGGAATGAAACCAAAGTATGGCAATTTCATAATGGATTTTTTCTCAGTACGTGATTTCTGAAAATGGAGAAAAAATATCAACGATGTTTTATCAGTACAGAGTAGTCACCTTTTACAGAGCTAAGAGGCAAAAAACAGCTGATCAAAATTGCTATACAATGGAACAATAAGTGACTGAGTTCTACAACAATAGAAACCGGGTATAAGATAGACCCAAAGTGAGAAAAAATTAGAAATTCCAAATATTGATGGATATGTAAATTAGCATATAAGTTAGTGTACACAGCACATTCCTCAGTTAGTAAAACATGGTAGCATCTTCTATAACAAGTGTTCTAAACGGTTGGTGAATGAGAAACATGCTTTACCTTTAATATGTTCTACTTTTATACTTCTGCTATGGTTTTAAGCAAATGCAGGAAAAGTGTGGCCAGAGATATCAGAGTATGTGTGAGATTTCTGATATCTGCTTGACTCCTCGATGGGGGCGCAGAGTACTCTTCCAATGAGGCTGGAGAGTGGAATGTTCACAGTTAATACTACATACTGTTGTGAAGATTTATTTTCTCACTCATATATATGTAATATTAGCCTTTACATTATACGAGTCAGCCTCTGTACACTCTGTACACTCTGTACTGTACTTGATTTCAACCTTTGGCTCCTCTATATTATACTTACCTTTTTATAATTGGAAATAAACTAAAAAGAAAATATTAAAAACAGAGAATGTAAGTTAAATAACTTTCTCCTTATATTTCATATCCTTAAATTATAGAACTACTTGATTCCAGAAAGCACCAAAAGTGATGTGCACCATTTAAGCCATAAGGCCTTTATGCATAGCTATTTTATGACTAGAAATCACAAACACTGTGAGAATGGGAAACAATATTGAATACCTGCTCAGGAGACAATCCATGTTTAATGAAACTACTGAAAGCCTTTTGGTTTTGACTCCAAGAAATTTTAATCTACAAAACAAAGTAAATAATGAATTTTCAACTAAACAGCAGTAACAATAACAACAACAACAACAACAAAAAGTTGTTGTTGTTCCTTATAGAACTAGAAACAAAATAGAAAGTTAAGTAATTAGGCTTCATAAACCGAGTCAGGTGCTGTAAGAGACCGTTGTCTGTAGCTGTATGGAACAAACTGCTGGATCTCCTCCCATCAATCTGAATGTAGTAGTGTTGATTGCATATTGAAATCTGCTTTTATTTTACCATCTAGACAGATGATATATTAAAACCATTGTGCAGAGTTCTTTCTTTTTGGTAAAGCTCATTTTTAAATATAATTTCTTTGAGATCATAAATAGATGGAGTAATAAAGAAAAGTCTCTGATGTAACAGAACTATTTTCATCTGTCTGTTAAAAGAAGAAGAAACCCTCCTAAGGGTTTCAGATGATTGTATTCATTACATTTCACTTCCCTTATAGGTCATTAATTTTCACTTTTTAAAATGGATGCCGTACACTTTCTCAACTTTAAACTAGAGAAAGGCTGCATTATGCTGTTTGTTTATTTAATAAACCCAACAAACAACGCAGCATAAAAAGACACATCTTTTGTATGTTAAAATTTAGTATAAATGCGCTTATTTGTTGTTGTTAAGATTAAGGGAAAAATAGTACTTTTCTGCAGCAGCTACATTTACACTTACTGATCTTTTACAGAGAGCTGTCAAAGCCTTTGGGTTGTTATGCAAAACATGATACCAATTTGAGATTGACTGCTGTCAGAGAGCAGCACTGATGTCTACAAATGTAATGTAAAAGCATTTTGGTAAATGTCACCAAAATGGCAAAATGTAAAATATATCTGCATGTGCTAACAGAGAGGAAGGTAAAATAGAAACACCTATCAGTCTGTTTTAACACCTGCCTCTGAAAAGTTCTGTACTGTTCCTGATATCACCTTTGCAGAACTGAAATTGGTGCTGATGTCGCATTGCTTTGGAACATCCTTGTTCTCAAATCACAATTCTCATCTCACCAGCAAATTAATTAAGGTGATTTTGAGGTCTGATCAGTTTCTGCCACAAAACAGTTGGACAGTATTTTATTGGGAAAACATTAAAAGCTGAGGAGTCCAAGAGCTTCAGGCCAACATTTCATCTTAATGCATCCTGTTTGTGTCCAAGTGTTATTGTCCCTTCTGCACACTCTGCACTTTTCTGCAGCCCACAGAGGGGTTAGAAATGCAAAGGTCAATTAAGGATAAACATAAACTTGAGTATTCTTTCTTTATAGTCGAGGATGTTTTCCGTACTTTGCTTTTTGTTATGTATTGTTTTTCTTTCATCAGTGGAAGTGGAGAGTCATACATAATTGCCTTTTTTTTTGCTTAGCTTCCAGGTGTTTCATTTTCACTGGGGGTTTGAGGTCAAAGCCTATGCATGACAATGTGCTGCTATTTATCTTTTTCATTGCCTTATCTGTCTGCTACTTGGATAAACTAAATTATTCAGTATTTGTTGAAAACTCTGTACAAGTTTTACATGCAATTTATTTTAGGAATACTGTTTCCAGCTAGGGAATGCTTAAGCTTTAAAATTAGCATAAAAAACAAGATGCAATTTTTGCGTTTGGCTTTGCTGTAAGTACTGGAACACAAATGAATGCAATGATACCTTTCGGTTCATACCAGCATCCTTTCAAAAACAAGCAAACAAAATATTTCAAATCAGGTGACATCCATCCTAGCAGCTGTCTCCCAGCGCGTGAGCCGATCGCACACAGCTCCCTGTGCCGGGGGCCAGTGACTGCAGGTGGGGCAGTTCCATGCTCCGCTGGGAAGTCAGGCGTGCGGGCTTACAAAGTCAGCAAATGAATCAAGTCCTTTTTTTTGGTTGTATATCCTTTTTTTCCTAAAGTTCCATTTCCTAGCAGTAATACGTGGTAGAGAAAGAACAGGTTTTGGCTACCGCATCTCGTAAACAGAAGCGAAGTGATATTTGCTTCATCCGTGGAGGAATATGTAAATACGTAAAACAGTGTTCTGGTTCTTTTAAAACCGACTTAAAGCGTGCTGTGATTTGACTGCGGGACTGCAGTTACGGTGCGGTACGACGCAAAGTCGTAACGTGGATTGTAGCGATTGAATCGGTGACCGCAGCGCCGGGCAGGGAGCGGTGCGTCGTGAGCCGTACAGGGCTGTCCGGGGCAGCCCCGGGAGATGTCAGTGAGAGAAAGCGGGCTCGGGACGTCCCATCCCGCTTAGGAGAGCGCTGGTGCGGCTGGCGGAGCAGGTGAACGCAGGCAGGAGTTGGAGCGGTTCACGTGTGCGCTCCTCAGCGCTCTAACCGCCGCTCGCAGCTCCTCGCGTCGCGGTCCGCCTTTCTCCCTCCGTGAGCGGGAGCGTGCGCCGGGGTCGGCGAGAGGCGGCGGGCCCGAGGGGCGGGCAGGGCTGCCGCGGGGCTCGGCGCGCCGTTCCCCCCCAATGCCGCGAAACCCCGCGGGCGCCGCTGCGGCCGTTGGCGGGGGCACCGCGCTCCGACGGGAACGGGCGGCCCCAGCGCCGGCCCTGAGGGTAAGTGGGCGAGAGAGCGAGCGGGCGGGCGAGGGACGGGCCGCCCCGGCCGCTCTCCGGCGACGGGAACGGCCGCGCCGTACCGCTGCCCCTTCTCCGCATCGTCCCGCGACGGGCTGCGGGTCTGTCGGGGGAAGGCCTCCCTCGGGAGGCAGCGGCCGAGCCTCCTCGCGAGCGGTCGTCGCCTTCCCCAAGGCAGCGCCAGCGGAGGGCTGCGGAGCGGGGCTGCGTCCGTCCCGCCGGGTCGCGAGGAGCGGCGGCGGCGCCCCGTGCCCGCCGCCGCCGGCCGCCGCGAGCTCTCCGCGAGCTCTGCCCGCGCTCCCGTGCCCGCGCTCCCGTGCCCGCGCCGCGCGCTCTCTCCCCCGGGCGGCGCTGTGCCCGCGCCCCTGCGCGATGCAGTGTGGGAATGGCTGTGGCGCTGGGGTTGGCTGAAAGAGGCGGCCAGTCGAGGTTTAATGTCCGCCATGTTGGCCGTGGCGTATTGAGCGGAGCCGGAGCGGCGGAGGAGCGGAGCCAGCGCCCAGCCCAGCCGGCGCCGCCGGGCCCCGTGTCGGAGCGCGCCCCGCCCCGCCGGGGGAGCCGCGGTCTCTCCATGAGAGCGCTCGGCGGGGTCCGGCTCTCAGCTCGGAGCGCTCTTGCTGTCGCCCCCCCCTCCCCAGCCGGAGCCGCCATCGCCGCCTAACATGAGCAAACTGTCGTTCCGGGCCCGGGCGCTGGACGCGTCCAAGCCGCTGCCCGTCTTCCGCTGCGAGGACCTGCCCGACTTGGCCGAATATGCCTCCATTAACCGGGCCGTGCCGCAGATGCCCACGGGCATGGAGAAGGAAGAGGAGTCGGTACGTGAGACCCCCCCCCCCCCCGCGGCCGGGTCCCTCCATCCCCCCCGCACCCGGGGCCCCCACCTTCGCCTCTGCGCAAGCACAAAATGGCCGCCATCTTCTCCCCGCTCTCCCCGCCCGCCGGGAAGGGGGGGGGGGGAGGGAGGAAGCTGGGGAGGGAAAGCGCGGAGCCCCGCTGCCCCCCGCCGCTCCCGCCCCCAGGGCTCTCTCGCGGGCCCCTCTCCCCCCGGCCCGCGCCCCGAGGCGGCTCGCGGTCCTCCGGCGGGGCCCCGAAATGCACAAAGGGCGTCACGTGACCCCGCGCCCGGCCGCCATTTTGTCTCCTGGTTCTCGGAACGGGCCTGGTGCGGCAGCGGCGCAGAGACGGGGCCCGGCGCTGCCGCGCGGCTCCACGGGGTGGCGCTGCCGAGCCGGGCCCCGCCGCAGGGGGCGCCAGGAAGTTGTGGCGGACGCCGCGGGAGCGCGCGTCGGTCCGGGCCGCGCTGGGGGTGGCGGGAGGGAGCGCTGCGGGCGGGGCCGGCACCGCGCCGAGGCGCTGTCCCCGCGCACGTGTCGGCGCGGAAGAAGCGGGAAGGGCTCTGCGTGTTCGTTAGAAGGCCCGCGAGCGCCGCGAGACGCGGGTGGCTTCGGCGATGCTGTCCCTGAGGGGCGAGCTCCGAGCCTCGCCGGACGCCGCCGGGTGCCCCGCGCTGTGTTCCTGCTGGCGCTGCCCGTAGTTCTCCGCGTGTCTTTAAGTTCGGTTACTGCATTTGCTCAGTCTTCCCCATCAGCGCGTGAAGTGCGGCAGGCGGGAGCCTCAGCGCCGCCGACAGGGTTTGGGTCTGTGGGGAACGCGGATGTGACAGCTCTGCGCCCCTGCAGAGCGGTTTGCTGTCAGGCTGCCGTTGGCTGTGAAGTTCTGTGCTCCCAGACGTAGCCAAGTCTGAGCTGCTTGTCTGAAATGTGAACGTGTGCGGGTTCTGCAGAGGTGCTCTGCTCTTGTAGTGCCGCTTAGCTGGTGCTGTGCGTTTTTATGGAGCACCAAGGAGGACGAACGATTCCGGGAGGGTGCTGCCCTTGGCACGTTGCTGTCTCTGTTCAGTAACTGCTCTGGAGTTTTTGCTTTCCCTTCTGTGTCAATGCCTGCCACTTTCATGTAGCTTAAGGAATATTTCAAAGCCCTGTGCACGTCACAGGTAACTGTGTGTGTTCACAGAACTGTTGGAGGTTTGCTTGTCGTTTTGTTGTGGTAACTGTGAAGTAGTCGTGTTCAGGCAGCAAGTGCTGTGCTGAGGTAGCCTTCATTCTTTCACGTAGGAAGTATATTCTGAACCAATGCATTCTGACCCGAGAGCCCACTGCTTGCCCCAGAATCTCAAAATTTGTTTGATGACTCGCTTACTGAGTTTATTTTTTTTGTGAACAGGTAGCCACACATACATATGTTCTTGTGTAAATGTCAGACAACTGTTTTTACTCTTTACTTTGGGGTTATAAATCTTTGGGGTAGAAAATCACATGGAATATCTGTTTGTCTGCCCACAGAGATGTACTAGCGAAGGAAAAGTAGTCACAAGCGAGGGAAAATTGTTAAACATTAATTATAGGACTTTGTTTCTGTGGTTAATGCAATGCTTTTGTTAGCAAGATCAAGCTTTGAGGGTTAAACTCTAGAGCTGTAGGTGCAGGTAAACACTTTCTGTAGTTAGCTTGCTCATGCCTTTGTTCTAAAGGTGTGTGCATGCACATACACGCACAGACACACCCCCAGGAGAAATCTGTTCCCTACCAGTAAACACAGGTGTCTTCCTGAGTCCTTTCAGTGGCTTCTTAAATAAAACGGTTGGTGTTAAACTCTTCCCACTTCTTCTTTCTATGAACTTGGCAAATTTCCTTCCTTCTCTCATGTCACTCCACTGAGTTTTCTCCTGGGCCTTCTATTGGTCTTGGCAATGGAGAGTGACAGCAGTCTGCTGAAGTTCTGGTGGCTGTCATAGGTGTAATGCCTTGCTGCGTTCTCCTCCCTGAACTTTGTGCCGCGCAGGGTTTGGGGAAGTTGGAAGCTGTTTATATTATGTAGCAGCGGAAGACTTTTTTAGCTGTTTTCTTCTAATGCTTAATGAAAATAATGGCCATCATCCATTTCTTTACAGACAGATGGTAAAGCCTTCTCAGGAATCTGGTGGGAGAGGAGGGTGGGCATCTGTAATATTTTTTTATAAATAGGTTTGTAACATTGCTTTGAGTTTTGCATAAATGTAATTCAAAGTGAACACAAAGTTGGAGTTCAGAACTCTTCTCTTGACAAAATGACTTTCTCTAGGGAAAAATGCAATCAGAGGTTTAATAATCAAGCATTGAGTCACAAGATATTTAAATGACTAATTAGTGTTTTGGTGCACCAAAAGGAATCTATTTTGCTTCCCTTTCATCTTAGCTTTCTCCCATCCTGTTCCTTCAGAGAATAAATATGGAAAATAGTACATCTGATTATCACAACTTGAAACTTCAGATAAGCAGTGATGTTTTGTAAGAATCTTCTGAAGGTAAAAAAGAAACCCTTATGCATAAAATATGCAGCAGGTAGTAGAGATATAGCAGCTATCAGAAAGACGTGACAACGTAGGAGCCCAGTGATAACCCTGCTACCAAGCAGAAGGGGTATACTTTACTAAGGGAGAAGTTCAGTCAGCGGTCTTGTTTGGAGGTAAAAGACTTGAGATTGAAATGCTGTTTGGCCTACAGGCAGGTGGTGGCTCAGAGCTGCTGACTGATAACTGTGTTCTGACAGTTGGTTTAGCTCCCAAGTTCCTCGGGTAAACACGTGGCTGTTGCCAAGTCTGTTGCTAAATGTAAGGGACCGAAAACAGTCGGGAGATGTGTGCATCTCTTAATGTAAGCCTTCAAAATGTAAGGATGTTCTTATGCAATACTGAACATCCACTGCATTATCTCAAAATCTTTTTTTTGAGCGAAGTGTGTCCTTAGTGCTGGGATTTGAGCAGTCAGAGAGCAGGGCACTGTTAATACTGCAGTAAAGCAGATTTGAATACCAAGTCCAATTCATAACAAACTGCAGAAGTAAGGACATAGGGCGTGTCAGGTGTGTTGGTCATTTGGGAGAGATTTTTATCTCAAGATACTAATTTGTGTGGCCTGTGTTGTGTTGGTTATTTTTTTTTTTTTTTACTTTATCTTTTTAACTGGAAATTTCAGGCTGGAACATAAGGGAGATGGCAAAGCAGAGCAGTGGTAACTTTCTTGAGAGAAGTTATTTTCAGTGGTTCTCTCAAAAGGCTGAGGCTTTTTAGCATGTTCACTGCTGTGTTATATGAAGAAATCAAGTACAGCTCTACAAGCTTTACTAAGTGTGTTGCAGTATATGTCACTGTAGTGAATTTTCCTGACATTTCTGCAGTAAATAAGTCTGTATTCATCAGGCCACGGAAAATAATGTTTTATTTTCATTGGGTGTGTTTGTTATCCTGATGTAAATGTTGATATTACTGTGCTTGTAATAAAGTTTTCAATGTTGTATTTCCATTTAGCCTGTGTACGCTAAAGCTTACATGAGGTAGATGCTCATTTTTCACCGGGTGGAGTTTGTCCCAGTGTCTCCCTCTTTGTGCTGAGGCAGAGGGGAGGGTATCAGTGGTGAGAAGCCCTGTTGCTTTATTGTGTTACTCTCTTAAGTTTGTCTTCGGACAAAGCTCATGGTTCAGTGGTTAATCTCTTCCCTCTTCTTAACTCCTCCTTGTCCTGTGAGGCTTCTCCTAGTCAGAGTTGTTAATAGCAGAAACAATTAAGCACCCAGAATCTGAAGTGATAAACCGTATAACTGCTTATTTGGTTCTGTTTTCCTTGGCAGATCTGTTGTAATACAACCAATACACTGTACAGAAAGTGGAATTAAGTCCGTGCATGCTGTTGTCAGTGGCAGGTTCTATCATACTACTTGATCTGGTGTTTGAACAAACAATTGACAGAGCTGAAAATGTGTTTCTGATGTTATTAAACCTGTGGTTGTGGTTCTCTTTCCTGCCGGCATGGGAGATGTTGAAGGGAAGTTTACTTGATAAAGCATTGTTATTAGGCATCATTACTCATTATTTCCTGATACTAGCATGACCGTGCAGTATTTTCAAAATGTTGTATACAAGCTGGTGGAGGTGACCTAATGTTCAATCAAATGCTTTGAGATGTTTGAAATGACTTCTCTAGTGGAACATCTCTAATGTAGCAGAGCACTGTTAATTTCACCTTTACTCAGTTTGGTCAGGCTCAGATATTGCATCCTCTCCATAAAACTTCTTTGAGCACAGCTACTGCAGCTCTTCTCCAGGTAGGGCATGCAGAGAAATGCATCCTTCCAGATCCATGCTGAAAGCATTGGGAAGGTGGTGTATCCATTCTGCAGCATATCAAGAGACATGGAGGTGTGACACTAAGGGACGTGATTTAGTGGGCATGGTGTGATGCGTTGACAAACTGACTGATCTTAGAGGTTTTTTCCAACTTCAGTGGTTCTGTGATTATCTTGCTGCTGGAACAGCTGTTTTCCACCTTTCTAAGGGAAAAAGCAAGCGTGGAATACCAGATGTGGCCTGCAGGGTTGCCATCTCAGCCATGCTGAATTTAAACATGCGTGAATCAGGTGTGTAGCCGGGGCATGGTGAGTCAGTGTAGGAAAAGTCTTGGTTTACGTACTTGAGTTTCACTGGAGAGCCTATTATCTTTTTTGGTTAGGGCATACTTAACACTTAAGAAACTGCATCCTGTGTGTGTCTTCCTGGAAGTATGTGTTTTCTTCTAATGAAATGCCTGTATCCATGGCACTTGAGTACTCCAAGTAAAATAATCATACCTTGCTGATGTATGGTTCACTGACACAAGTGCTCTTGGATCTTGTGGGGGCAGTCAGAATGGAACGAATGCACGATCGTGACAGTTACTGTAACTGAATCATTAGTTTCAAGTCTGTTTTTCCTTTTTTTTTCGTTCGTGTTCCAAAACATAGT